ATCTTTAAAAATTAGATTTTTAAAGTATTGCTAAAACCTGGCAAAAATATACGAACAAAATTAATCAATTTTTCTCGTTATTTTAGCTTTAAAAATCTGATTTTTGAAGTATTGCAAAAATATGGGAATAAGATTTTGAAAGAAAAAATCAATTTTCCTCTATTTTTCAACTTTGAAAATTTGATTTTTAAAGTATTGCAAAAATATGGGAAAAAGATTTTGAAAGAAAAAATCAATTTTCCTCTATTTTTCAACTTTAAAAATTTGATTTTTAAAGTATTGCAAAAATATGGGAAAAAGATTTTGAAAGAAAAAATCAATTTTCCTCTGTTTTTCAACTTTAAAAATTTGATTTTTAAAGTATTGCAAAAATATGGGAAAAAGATTTTGAAAGAAAAAATCAATTTTCCTCTATTTTTCAACTTTAAAAATTTGATTTTTAAAGTATTGCAAAAATATGGGAAAAAGATTTTGAAAGAAAAAATCAATTTTCCTCTATTTTTCAACTTTAAAAATTTGATTTTTAAAGTATTGCAAAAATATGGGAAAAAGATTTTGAAAGGAAAAATCAATTCTCCTCTAATTTTCAATTTTAAAAATTTGATTTTTAAAGTATTGCAAAAATATGGGAAAAAGATTTTGAAAGAAAAAATCAATTTTCCTCTATTTTTCAACTTTAATAATTTAATTTTTAAAGTATTGCAAAAATATGGGAAAAAGATTTTGAAAGGAAAAATCAATTTTCCTCTAATTTTCAATTTTAAAAATTTGATTTTTAAAGTATTTTCCTCTATTTTTCAATTTTAAAAATTTGAGTTTTAAAGTATTGCAAAAATATGGGAAAATTGATTTTTCCTTTCAAAATCTTTTTCCCATATTTTTGCAATACTTTAAAAATTTAATTTTTAAAGTTGAAAAATAGAGGAAAATTGATTTTTCCTTTCAAAATCTTTTTCCCATATTTTTGCAATACTTTAAAAATCCAATTTTTAAAGTTGAAAAATAGAGGAAAATTGATTTTTTCTTTCAAAATCTTTTTCCCATATTTTTGCAATACTTTAAAAATCAAATTTTTAAAATTGTAAATTAGGGGAAAATTGATTTTTTCTTTCCAATCTTTTTCCCATATTTTTGCAATACTTTAAAAATCAAATTTTTAAAGTTGAAAATTAGAGGAAATTTATTTTTTCTTTCAAAATCTTTTTCCCATATTTTTGCAATACTTTAAAAATCAAAATTTTAAAGCTGAAAAATCGAGAAAGATTGATTTTTTCCGTCCAATCTTTTTCCAATGATTTCGCAATACTTTAAAAAACAAAGTTTTAAAGTTTAAAAAATAAGGAAAATTGATTTTTTCACTACCAATCTTTTTCCCATATTTTTGCAATACTTTAAAAATCAAATTTTTAAAGTTGAAAAATAGAGGAAAATTGATTTTTTCTTTCAAAATCTTTTTCCCATATTTTTGCAATACTTTAAAAATCAAATTTTTAAAATTGTAAATTAGAGGAAAATTGATTTTTTCTTTCCAATCTTTTTCCCATATTTTTGCAATACTTTAAAAATCAAATTTTTAAAGTTGAAAATTAGAGGAAATTTATTTTTTCTTTCAAAATCTTTTTCCCATATTTTTGCAATACTTTAAAAATCAAAATTTTAAAGCTGAAAAATCGAGAAAGATTGATTTTTTCCGTCCAATCTTTTTCCAATGATTTCGCAATACTTTAAAAAACAAAGTTTTAAAGTTTAAAAAATAAGGAAAATTGATTTTTTCACTACCAATCTTTTTCCCATATTTTTGCAATACTTTAAAAATCAAATTTTTAAAGTTGAAAAATAGAGGAAAATTGATTTTTTCTTTCAAAATCTTTTTCCCATATTTTTGCAATACTTTAAAAATCAAATTTTCAAAGTTGAAAAATAGAGGAAAATTGATTTTTTCTTTCAAAATCTTATTCCCATATTTTTGCAATACTTTAAAAATCCAATTTTTAAAGTTGAAAAATAGAGGAAAATTGATTTTTTCTTTCAAAATCTTTTTCCCATATTTTTGCAATACTTTAAAAATCAAATTTTTAAAATTGTAAATTAGAGGAAAATTGATTTTTTCTTTCCAATCTTTTTCCCATATTTTTGCAATACTTTAAAAATCAAATTTTTAAAGTTGAAAATTAGAGGAAATTTATTTTTTCTTTCAAAATCTTTTTCCCATATTTTTGCAATACTTTAAAAATCAAAATTTTAAAGCTGAAAAATCGAGAAAGATTGATTTTTTCCGTCCAATCTTTTTCCAATGATTTCGCAATACTTTAAAAAACAAAGTTTTAAAGTTTAAAAAATAAGGAAAATTGATTTTTTCACTACCAATCTTTTTCCCATATTTTTGCAATACTTTAAAAATCAAATTTTTAAAGTTGAAAAATAGAGGAAAATTGATTTTTTCTTTCAAAATCTTTTTCCCATATTTTTGCAATACTTTAAAAATCAAATTTTCAAAGTTGAAAAATAGAGGAAAATTGATTTTTTCTTTCAAAATCTTATTCCCATATTTTTGCAATACTTCAAAAATCAGATTTTTAAAGCTAAAATAACGAGAAAAATTGATTAATTTTGTTCGTATATTTTTGCCAGGTTTTAGCAATACTTTAAAAATCTAATTTTTAAAGATGAAAAAATGAGAAAAATAAATTTTTTCTTTCTTAATCTTTTTCCCATTGTTTTGCAATGATTTTCAGAAAAAAAATGAGAAAAATAAGAAGTAAGTTAGAAAAAATTGACTTTATTTTATTCCCATATTTTTGCAATACTTTGGCAAGATTTTAGCAATGTTATATGATATTAAAAAAAAGTATGGGAAAGGCTCATAAGCAATGGTTTGTGAGCTTTTTGCAATTCTTTGAAGTATGGGATAAAACTTAAAAACAATGGCGAAAATCTTCTCCCATCTTTTGCCAGCTTTTGATAGCTTTTTCCCATAGTTCGTTTTTCACGCGGGCTAATATCTACCAATGTGTTTACATCAAATCAAGTCGCATGTACATTTAATAATACTCTTAGTAGTAAGAGACCTAAATGTTTAGTCTTCTTACAGCTATACTATGCTACTTGATATGATTTTCACATCATTACTATTAGAAAAATGTAGCATCCGCAACTGTAGTCAATATATGACTCATATACTGCATCGCGAGGCGCAAGCACATAAGCTTATGCTACGTGACAACAGGGTAGCTTTCGTCTCGCGTTGCAATACAATACCCCTATAGAAAAGACTGTAGATGCATATGCCGACCAGCGACCTATATCTATTAGATCCAAGAAATTGTCTTCGTGATTCTAAAATTATAATTCGATCAGGACGTGATCTCTGCTCATTTCCTCCCACTGAAGGATGATTTTGCTAGTATAAAAACCCTGCAATTAGCATGGGGCGTCGTCAGTTCTCCGGTTCTAAGATCGCACTTCACGTCAAATAATACGTCAACCATTTGCTCTTTTCGATAATTGTAAAATCTTTCAAGTCTAACAGTACAAGTAAACTCGTGTTCAAAAGAATAAGTTCTCTTGGTCGCCCGGCTTGCGAGTATATTCTCAAAAAATCTGCAAAATCATATCAAAATACGTATAGAGACATTTGTGCAGAGATTAACGTTCTGTCGAGAGGCCCTTCGGTAATGCAATTAATTTAAACTTGCAAATTTCTAAAACTAAGTAAACTCGTGTTCTTAAAGAATAGGTTCTCTTATAAATTGAATTGTGAGACATTATTAAAATTCGCATCTAACCGTCGAATTAGTGTTACTTTTGAAAATAAGTAAGATTTCGGAAGTTATGAACTAAAAGAACAGTGATTGTTAAAACAACGATTTTGTATAACAGTTGAACGAAAGCCGCTGCGTAAAATTCTCAAGTGTTAACCACTTGACTCATCTTGTTTTTCGGCCCTCATAAGAGGTAGTTGTAAGTACCAATTATCTATTTGTTAACTTCTACATTTTCATTTAAATTGTAACACCTGTATTCACATTAAAACTGTACTTTTTCATATCATTTGCTTTTCAAATAATTTATTAAAATAAATCAAAAGATTACTATAATTTCGTTTTATTTCATTTTATTCAAAAATTAATCATAAAACTCATAAATCCTATAAATAATGGATAAAGTTCACGGAGAAAAAAGATATTGTTGCCATAACAATTTTTGGATTGTTGTTGACAGATTTGTTGTTGCTACAATTCGGAATGTTGAAATGACAATTCGGATTGTTGTCAATACAAATGTGTCTTGTTTTAACGATTATACGAATTTGCTACGTTTAACTTGTTCAGTCTGCAAATCCGTACTGTTACACGGAAAAAACAAACTAACTATTTTAGCACCAAACTGCTTTATCCTTTATTAGTATGCAATTTCGTTTACCTATTAAAGTATGAAATAATGCTTTTTTAGTTTAAAGTAAGTCCATACTAAATAAGTATAATGGTTATACTCTTATAGTAATAGTGACGTACTTTAAAAGCATAAAATTGATGCCCGCGAAGTACGACATATAGTCTACCTAAAATAGCAAGAGCTTCTTCCTTTTTGGTGTATAAATTCTTGCAACCTGCGTTTTGGCCTATATCGATATATCAATGGTTGGAAAGGGAGGGAGGCGTGGCCAAAACGCAGGTTGCAAGAATTTATACACCAAAAAGGAAGAAGCTCTTGCTATTTTAGGTAGACTATATGTCGTACTTCGCGGGCATCAATTTTATGCTTTTATAGCACGTCACTATTACTATACGAGTATAACCATTATACTTATTTAGTATGGACTTACTTTAAACTAAAAAAGCATTATTTCATACTCTAATAGGTAAACGAAATTGCATACTAATAAAGGATAAAGCAGTTTGGTGCTAAAATAGTTAGTTTGTTTTTTCCGTGTATAGTAACAAACTTCTGGTAGCGCATCATGCGATTGCTGATGGAACAATTCGGATTTGTTGAGCTGACAGGTTTACTGCTCAATGTCACGTGTTCATCTTTACTTGCGCGTCGGTCTCGCGATTAGGGCACATGTGCCTCTCTATTTATTTTAACTTAAGTTTGTTATTATATATTGAAGTGAAAATGCTCCCAGGAGAGGAGGCAAAAGTGCGGGAATTGTTATTAAAAGGGGGGCTTGATGAGAAGACTGTGTCTGATTTTATTGGTAAGTGTTTAAATAGTGTTAAACATAACCTCACTTTTTTATTAACTGATAGATAAGTTTAAAAGTTGTTAAGTTTTTTTATCTATTGCTGTTAATATAATTAATTTATTTATTTTACAATTTTTATTTGTGCAGTCAATTCAATGGATTTATTTGCAATCCAACATATGGATACAAATACATTAAATATTTTGGTTCCTAAGCTTGGTCAGAAGATCAGATTTGAAACCCAACGGAAAGAGTGGGTAAGATAAAGTTAATTACATATTTTAATGCTTGAAATGATTTAGAAAATATTGAATTAAAATAGTGAATTATGTAAACTTTATTTGCTAAAGCTTTCTTCGAGGTTTTTTTTACAAATATACAGTAAGTAAATTTTAGAAAATTTTAAATTGGAATCATTTTTAAATATTAGAATTTTTGATTAAATTAAAATTGTTAAAAATAATTAGTTTATCGAAGAATTTTAGAAATTTTTTTTTAATTTAAATTTTGGCGGAATTGCAGTTAAAATTTTTGTAAATTATTTATATTCTTGAAATTTAAAATTAAAAGTTTTGTTAATTTGAATTACTGAAAATTGTTTAAGAACTTTCGACAATAATTAAATTTTTGGTGAACTTTACTAATATTGAAAAATATATAAATAATTTATTTGTATAAGTAATGAAAAATCATATTTTTTTGTTGTCACAAAAAATATAGGTTTACGTCAAAGATTAATTTTGAAAAATTTATTTTTGAACTTTAAAATCTTGAAATGGTCTTGGTTTTTTTTAATATTACTGGATACCCCGAATAAATAAAATGAATAATTTAGAAGAAAATAAATAAGAAATAATGTAAAAATATAGAATTTAACTAAATATTTTATTTTTCACCAATTTTAATCAATTTTTTTTAGCTTGAAAGTTTTGACTTCGGAGCGGAAACTTCCACTGACGTAAATTCAAATATTAAAACAACCTCTATATCTTATATGAATAAATTGGACTATGAAGAAGTGCCGTCGATTATTTTTCAAGAGGTTGAAAATAATTCTGATCTTCTTAACGAGTCGGTGAATGCATTCAAACCTTTATCAGGCATTATCACAGGAGAAATTGATGACAATATTGAGATTATTGTAGAAAAACACTTGAAAAGTGCCGATACTTCGATATCTAAAGATTTTCAACCAGTGAAGAAAAAAGTTAAGACATACGTGAGTAATCCTTATGTTTATTTTATTCTTTCTACAAAAAAATAATGTTTTTCATTTATAAGGCAATATTTTCAATTTTATTTTGCGTTAAGTTTTGCAAGTTTGTAAAACCCTCGCATTAACTTCATTAAAATAATTTCATGGGACAGTAAAAAACAAGATTAATGCTGAATCTTTCTTTTAGGACTTAGAAAGTGTTTTGAAGTCAAGTCCAGATGGAACCACAGTTTTAAAACTATACGAGCAAGAAAATAAATTCTTGAAAGATTCGATTAGGGATGAATTGGTAGACTGTATTCTGCAAAATGAATTATCAGATGATATGGATAAGAGGTAAGAGATACATAATTTTCCAATTAATATTCTTTCATTTTTGAAAACATATTTTTTTTGTTTTTCACTATAGCATTCCTCGTAACCGCCTTCAATTTCTTGCCGAGCAGATAATACAAAAATTTCCCACCGAAGAAGTGGTGAGTAATAATTTTAATATCTAAATTTAAATTTATATTTTCAGATTCAATATACTCAACTATTTTTTTATATTGTAGACTACATATTTTGAAGCATATCGAAGCAACAAAACTAAAAAGTTAACCTGTAAAGGAAAACTTGTGTGGAAGTATTATAATCTTCGAAGAAAACTTTCCAATTGTGGCGCCATAACAAAAGTTAAATTATCAAGTATCAATTCAGAAAAACCCTTCACAAGTAATCAAACTATTCATATTTTATAATATATAAATACTATTTTGTTATCATTTATATTAGTTTAAAAAAAAATGTTTTTTAATCTTAAAATTTTGCTCAGGCGTGGAAATTAACAAATCGATTGCTGGTAGTCTCTGTTGGTTAGAACAAAACAGAGGAAATAAATCAAATTGGCCTCAAGTCTTAGATCACTGGAGAAAAACATCAAAGATTCGACTCAATCAACTGATGTATGGGGAGGATGTAGATAATGAGGTAGCATCGACAGATGGAGCAGTTTGTGCAAATGCAAAGAAATTAGCTGCTGTAAGCAAAAGTGCTAAAACCATTGAGAAAACTAAAAAACAACTTACTCTTCATGACTATAAAGTAAAATATCCAGTATTTCAAGAAAATAGGGCCTACGATTTGGTGAGTACAAAAATATGTTTTCATTCTTCTTTTTCTTCTTTTTTATTTTTACACCTAAATATTTCAAAGATTTCTATGATTATTAACTGATTGATAAATTCTTTTTTATAGTTCGAGATTGATTTTTTTACGTTGAAGCCGGATGTTGATCCATTAGCGTTATTTAGCGAGTGGGCTACATTGCAATCGTTTATTGTCGAGCAGGTTGAAAAGAAAATTCCAGGTTTTCTACAACAAGATGATGATAAAGAAATGTCGAACGGTAAATTTTAAATCCTCGTATCTTTTTAGTGAGTCTGGTAAAAATAGTCTTAGAATGTCTTTTTGGTGGAAAAAAATGGTAATGTCTGAGAAACTTAATAGTATCACTATGACTGTAAGAAAATATTGTTTAAATTACAATTTTTTTTAATAGGAGAAAAAACTTTGCATACCTTGCAAAATTTTTGTAAGATTTTGCCAATCGTCAATATCACAGGACAACGAAAAGGTAAAAAATCCTGGAGGCCAAGCCACGCTGAGGTAAACGATGCTTTTTTCCGAGTTTATAGAGTAAGTAAATTTTTATTCTAAATAAAAGTCCGATGAATATCCTAGTTAGTCAATTTTTTAGAATTTATCTTCGTTTATATTGAAACATTTGAGGAATTCAAATTTGATTTTAATATTAATATCTACTTATTAGATAAAAAATATTTAGAACTGTAGACAGTCTTTCGGAATGTAAATGAAACAATTGCTTATAGAAGTTGCATATAAACTACGTTTTTTAGGTATAATTTTTAAGAAAAATCACATAATGTTATATAATTATTTAACAACAAATTTTGACTCAAAATATTTTTTTCTAAGAACTATACAACTGGATCTTTCAAGCTTGGGCGAAATCAATTTTAAATATATTTTTGGATCTTTTAAAAACTATTTTTGAGTTTGAGCTGATGTTAAGGGAATAAGTCTCCTTAAGGCAGATTATAATTTTAAATAAATTTTATTGTCATTAAATATTAATTTTACTTCAGTTTTTCTGAGAAAAAGAAATAGAACTAGTTCCAAATTTTTTTACAGTTATAAATTCTTGACATTTACTTTATATTTTTCTATTGTAATTTTCTTTACCAAAAGATTTGTTTTATATAAATAAATTTTTTTAGACTTTCGTGGAGTTTGATGAAGTGAAAGAACAAAGGCGAGAAAAATTAAAAGCAGCTAAATTAACTCTGCAACCATTTGTGGCTGTCATTGGTCCCTTCGAAGATCCGCTTCAATTTATCGTTTGTATTGACGAATTCTTCTATGATGTGCAATCGGCTCTCCATGCTATTGACATAGCCTTTAAAAGTTTTTATGCATTACACACGCCGTATCCGCCTGAATCGAAACAAATCTGGTTATTTTTGCAAAAAGTTGTTTATGGTATCACAGAAACTACTGACGATCACTTCACAGGAGTAAGTACTATGATTAAAGAATATCAACGTTTCAAAGCGAAATTCGAATCTCCTTCGGCTAAACAAACCTGCTCGTAAAAATGCGAGTAATGTTGACAGGTTTGTCGCTAATCTTTTCAGTTAATGTTATTTTTTGATTCTTTAGATTATAAGTTTCTACGCGTCTCCATTTTTTAAAAATGCCCGTCTGCATAGAGTGCAAGACAAAACGTGATTTTAAAACTACAAAAGCTTTAATTTTACATCTTAAGATATCTCACAATTATAATATATTAAGCGTTTATCGTTGCGGAGAAAACGATTGTTTTAGAAAATTTAATAGTATTAAAGCATTTGTTAGGCATGTTGAGGAGCACGTTAAAAATAGTAATTTTTTAACTGATAATGAATGTCAACCTGAACCTGATGAAAATGTTCTAAATTTAGAATCAAATTCATTTGATTATGATCTTGATATCGACAATGCCGAAAATATTGAAGACGATGAAGATACATTTCCCTCTACGGTCTCTTTCCAGGATAGGCTTAAAAATGAAAGTGATGTATTTGTAAGTAAATTTTACAGTAAAGCTGTCTTACCTAGAAATGTTGTTCAAGATTTAATCGATGATACATCAAATTTTTTATCCCACGGTTGTACAAATATTTTAAAACAAAAAGTTTTAACAACTTTGAAATCTTCTAACGCTGATCCATCGGATGTAGATGAAATATCCGAAATGTTTAATGCATTAGAATCTCCCTTTTCTCATTTAGACACAGAATATAAGCGTTTTCAATATTTTATGGCAACCGGTAATTTTATATCAGCAAATGAATTTGAAATTGGAAAGCAATTGACTCAAGTAAAAACAGATTCAGGGACTATTCATAAGTGGGTTAAAGTTACCGCTCAACATATTCCTTTAGCACCAGTTTTAACGAAATTTTTAGAATTGCCCGATTCACTTTCCAGTATATTAACCTATGTTGATTATTTAAACGAAAATACAGAGAATCTTTGTAACTACATTCAGACTGATGCGTGGAAAAAGAAAAGGTCGAAGTTCAAATCTAGCGATATTGTTCTTCCATTGTTCGTTTATTATGACGATTTTGAACCAAACAATCCTGTTGGACATCATTGCTCTAAAGTTGGTGGAATATATGTAACCATCGCATGTTTACCTCCAGAGATAGCATCACGTGTAGAAAATATATTTTTGTCTATTTTATTTAATACTAAAGATCGTGATGACTTCCCAGTAAAAGATATTATTGCACCTCTACTTGAAGATTTAAGATCATTAGAAAAAAATGGAATTCTTGTAAAATTATCTACCGGAGAAGAAATTCGTATTTATTTTGTCTTGGGGTTAGTGCTAGGCGATAATTTAGGAATACATCAGCTCTGTGGTCTTGTCTGCAATTTCTCAACGGCAAATTATCGTTGCCGTTATTGCAAAATTTACAAAAATCAATTGATTAACGATTTACAAATAGATGAGACAATTTTTAGAAATAGAACAAATTATGAAATAGATGTACTCCGAAACAGTACAGAGGACACGGGAATCACAAGTAGATGTGCTTTAAATGAATTAGAATCGTTTCACATAACTGAAAATCTTTAGGGAGATATCTTACATAATTTTGATGAGGGCATTGCTCATGAAGTGATGACATTTGTTTTGATTAAACTCACTGATCCAAATACAGGATTTTTTACATTGCTAGTTTTGAATACTAGACTGAATCTTTTTGATTTTGGCTCTTACGCAGCTTTATATAAAACAAAATTATTTATAACTATTGAAAATTTAAGAAATAGAAAGTTAAGAATGACTGGCTCCGAAATGCAATGTTTTGTGCGAACTTTTGGTCTGTTGATGGGGGACCTTGTACCTGAAAAGAATGAATATTGGGAATTATATTTAAGTCTTCAACGAGTCTATGATATTGTTTTAAGCAAATATGTACCTGAAAATAGTATTAGATCTTTTCAGTATTATGTGACCGAACTGGGACGGCAATATTTAAATCTTTCTGAAGATAATCACCTCACTTTCAAATTTCATAAAATTATTTGGCATTATGGTTCAATTATGAAAACAAGTGGACCCGTATCAAATTTGAGTGTTCGTCGCTTCGAGTCAAAAAACAGAGAATTGAAACTAGATTCAAAAGGAAATATGTCGAGAGTAAATTTAATAAAATCATTATCTATCAAACATCAGTTACGTTTATGCCACAGGTTTCTTGCTAATTGTTCCATTCTGTCAGAAATTCAAGTGGGTGCTGGTGATTCGTTTGCATCTTGTGAACTCAATAATCAGTTAAAAGAATCTTTAAAAACTTTTTTCCCGAATCTCAGTTCGGTATTTGTTCCTCACTGGATTAGTTATAAGGGATCTCATTTTGACAATTATAGTAGTACAGTCATAGTCGATATCGACGACTATTTTGGTTGGCCAGTGTTTGGGGAAATACAAAATATTTTTATTTCAAATAAAACGGTGGTAATTTCATGCCGCCTTTTGGAAACAATCGGTTTTAAACAGCATTTCCATGCGTTTGAAATAAAAAGAACTGAAACAATAGTCTATTACAACATAGAAAATCTTGCTGACCCTCTTCCTCTCAATATTTTGTGTGCCCCAAAAGGAGGACTTTTCGTCATTTTACGATATCAAACATAAGTATAGACTTCATTGTGATACTCGGCTGTAATGCTTAATTTTTAATATTTAATGTACTAAAATAATGTTTTATAATTGTAAAGAAAAAAGTTTTAATAAATTTTGTACTTAATTATCAATTAATTTTATTATTTCTACAAAAATATTAATTAAGGTGAGAAAAATTTATTTGATCAACGCTTTGTTAGTACAACAAATTATTTTGTCAAACTAACAATCCAGGTATATTGTTGAAAACAATTCTGCTTGTTCACCGAACAAATCGGAATAGTTTTTATAACAATCTCGCTTTAACAAATTTTTTTTGTCTCCACAACAAATAGATTTGCTAGTTCTATATTAGCAAACTGGAATTGTTGTGCGGACTTAATTTTTAGTTGTCACAACAATCCTTTTTTCTCCGTGTTTGACCAATTGTTAAATAAATTAATAAAGACGACCCCTATAGGATCGATAGATAACAACGATCTCACACAAAAATAAATAGTCAGAACTTACCAATCTGACTGTAATCAGCCTACCTTGCCTCCCTTATAATTTATAATTATATTCAAAATATACATATTAATTAACCTCGCCTTTCGCTCGGGATGTAACATTATATGAGAGATTCTTTTTCAATCGCCCCAGCCCAAAAAGTCAATGTTCTGGGATTGGCTTCATACTTTGGTAAATTGTTCTCCTATATGATAGTAATAAATCCCTAAAATATAAACTCATTAAAAAAATATTTGTAGAAAGTAGAGGGGGTTGAAGTTTTGACGTTAAGGGTAACATTGTCATTTTCAAATCCGTTTAACTATAACAAAAGTTAATGGATTTTAATTTATCTATAATGAATTTTATTGCATTTTTCACGTACTTTTCAAAAATGTATACGAAATTTAAAAAAAAAAAATTTTAACCCCTTTTTTCAAAATCAACCCTTATTTTTCGATTTTCACCCCTTCGGGTATTTTTTTTTTTTTATTTTCATTGGAAAGCTGAGGTTTTTTCCCATGAGCTATGTAAATATGAAAATGGGACAACAATAATTTTGTGAGTAACAGAATATTAAAGTAGGCGGTGCCGATAAGGGGTGTACTTGGAGATCATCTTTGAGGATTTAGATAGGCACCGCCTAATTTAATATTATGTTTCTCACAAAATTATTGTTGTCCCATTTTCATATTTACATAGCTCATGGGAAAAAACCTCAGCTTTCCAATGAAAATAAAAAAAAACAAAAAAAAATTCCCGAAGGGGTAAAAATCGAAAAATAAGGGTTGATTTTGAAAAAAAGGGGGTCAAAAATTTTTTTTTTTAAATTTTGCATACATTTTTGAAAAGTACGTGAAAAATGCAATAAAATTCACTATAGATAAATTAAAATCCATTAACTTTTGTCAAAGTTATACAGATTTGAAAATTACAATGTTACCCTTAACGGCACCCTTATCGGCACCGCCTACTTTAATATTCTGTTACTCACAAAATTATTGTTGTCCCATTTTCATATTTACATAGCTCATGGGAAAAAACCTCAGCTTTCCAATGAAAATAAAAAAAAAAAAAAAAAATACCCGAAGGGGTGAAAATCGAAAAATAAGGGTTGATTTTGAAAAAAATGGGGTAAAAAATTTTTTTTTTAAATTTTGTATACATTTTTGAAAAGTACGTGAAAAATGCATTAAAATTCATTATGGATAAATTAAAATTCATTAACTTTTGTCATAGTTATACGGATTTGAAAATGACAATGTTACCCTTAACGTCAAAACTTCAAACCCCTCTACTTTCTACAAATATTTTTTTAATAAGTTTATATTTTAGGGATTTATTACTATCATATAGGACAACAATTTACCAAAGTATGAAGCCAATCCCAGAACATTGACTTTTTGGGCTGGGGCGATTGAAAAAGAATCTCTCATATATGTGTGTGTGTGGATCCCTTTTTTGTTTAGAAGATAACTTTAACAGGTTTTAATGGATTTAGATAAAATTTGGTATGCTTACACGGAGAGAAATCTGCTGCGATTTGCGCATGAGCAAGTCCATAGGAATATAGCATGGACACTTCCAAGCAAAAACCATAAGATTCCATCTGAATATCAGGTGAGACTCATACAATAATACCTCGCTCACTTAGGATTTTTGCTTGAAAGCGTCTGTTACTATATTCCTAAGGACATGCTCATGCGTAAATCGCACCAGATTTCTCTCCGTGTATTTATTATATTAATATCTTGAATCTGACCAAAAAATTTTAAAAATACCCAAAAAAAAATTTTATTGTCTTTTTTCCAAAAAGTTTTTTTTAATCGAAAAAATTTTTAAATAGAAAAATTTAAGGTTATATATAATAAAATTGTATTCCTTACGTCAAGACAAATCGATCAGTATGTATAGAGTATAGTTTTAATTTAAATTTAAAGAATTAATAAAAGTTAAAAAATCAGAAATTCACATTTTGGCTATAAAATTTTGTGATTATTTAAATTTAAGTTTATAAATGAAATAATTGTATTCCTTACATGAAAACGAATCGATTGATATATATATATATATATAAAATTTACATTTGAGGTAAATATAATAAATTAATGAAAGTTAAAAAATAGAAAATAAATATTTTAGCTGAAAAATTTTATATTTATTTAAATTCAAGTTTAAATATAAAATAATTGTGTTCTTTGCATTAAAACGAATCAATAAAATTGTAAATAATTATAAATTATATATAATTTTTCATTAATATATAATTAATTAATTAATTAATATATATATTTATACAAATTACAAATGTTTAATTATCGAAATGAGAAATGAAACCATTTGTAAAGGAATTAAAATATTCCATTAATCTGAAAATAATAATGAATTGTTTATTTAATATTAGTATAAATTTTAAAAAAATTAAAAAAATCTTCACATGACAGAAAAAATAGTGATTGTCATTATTTTTACAGTGATTGACCATCAAATTAACAATGATTGCCCACTAGACATAAAATAGTAATGTAAATTATAAATTTTGCATAATTTATTAAAGAATGAATATAATTTGAAATTAATAAAGAAGAAGTAATTTTTAAAATAATTTTCTTTTATTAACAATAATAAGATTCATTAAATATGACTTTTAAGTGTAAATAATACTATTAACCTAAAAAATTGGGAAAATTGTCGAATCTGACTCAATTGTAAAAATAAAAATTATTTTTGGCTATTTTGATTTGATATAATAATTACATGATTTTGAAGTTTTTCATTGCTTAAAGAAGCATATACGAAACACCTTTTTTACCTTCGGCATTTTTTCGATAGCCTTAACTCATACTTCATATTAAAAAATTGTTAATAAAATATTACAAATCATTCTAATACATGTTGCGGCTCTAATTACATCTTTATTTTAAAAAATTAATTCACCAAATATGAAACAAGGAGGGGGTCCTTTATGTTTATTTCATAAACATTATGCTTCCTCATTGTGTGAAGCAAAAAATTCGCTTCCTCGTGAAGGAAGCAATGAATTTGTCCAATTCAATTGATTGATTTAAAAAATTTCGAGTTAAAAATGTTTTAAATTAATTAAATTTTTTGAAAAATAAAGAAAATTTTAATTAATTTTGAGTGTAACATAAACTTTATATATACGAATCGATTCGTTTTAATGCAAGGAATACAATTATTTTATTCATCAACTTGTATTTAAAAAAACACAAATTTTTTTAGCTAAAATATGAATTTTCGATTTTTCAATTTTTATTAATTCTCAAATTTTAAATCAAATCTATACTTTATATATACCAACCAATTCGTTTCAATGCAGGGAATAAAATTATTTCATATATAAACATGAATTTAAATAAACACATCATTTTATAGCTAAAATGAGAATTTTTGATTTTTTAACTTTCTTTAATTCTTTAAATTTCAATCAAATCTATACTTTATATGTATCAATCGATTCATCTTGACATAAAGAAGACGATTATATCATATATTACCTTAAATTTTTTGATTTAAAAATTTTTTCAATTAAAAAAAAATTTTTGGAAAAAAGACGATAAAATTTTTTTTTTTGGGTATTTTTAAAAATCCTCTCGTCATTTTTGAGAGATTAATGTGTTAAATAAGCCTACCAAATTTTATCCAAATCCATTAAAACCTGTTAAAGATATCGTGTTCACAAAAACGATCCACACACACATACACACACACACACATACATACATCCGGACAATTGATCAGGATCTCATATAACATGTTTCTATATAGAGGAAAATTTGTTTTCACCATTTTTAAAAAGTTTATAAACGAAAGGACTACATAGCTTCCTCCACGAGGAAGCAAAAACGTCCAAAAATTAAAAATACTTATCTCAAAAAAGTCTTGAAAATAAACGGTTAATCACTGAAAAATGACATAATAACCAAAAATTAAACATTGCCCGGGGAGGGCAATGACTGTTATTTGTTATTAATTGCAAGATTGTAGTTGTTCTCTATCACTGCACTTGAGATTTGTTTTATATCTGTTCTGTAACAAATATGTAACAATGAACAGCTATTTATAAATGTGATGTTATTAGACCAGTTTTTTCTTTTTCTTTAGATTTTGACTTTGACAATTTATAAAGTGTGGTTATGATGTGTTTTTATGTTTAAGTTTTCAATTTTTAAATTTGTGCTGAATTGAAAAAAAGTTATTAAAGCTAAAAGGATATTAATTTTAAAAGAGTGATTATATTTTGAATTTAAAAATTATGTTCTAGTTTTAGTTTGTGTTAAGATTATTGAAATTGATCATAATTTTTACTGACTATTTAATATTTAGTTCAATAAATTTATTGAATGTGAAAATTTAAAATTATTGGTAATGAATTTGATATACTTAATAGAAAAAGTTAGGAAATGTACACGTGCGTTTTTTCAAGTTAGAATTTATTTAAATATATTTTTAAGAAAAACTAAATATTAATGGGAAAAACTTGTCCTTTCTTAATATTTATAATTTTGCAGCTAAAGAGCTCAAACTTATTGGTAATCAAATGTATTTTTAAATGTAGATTAGAGAAAAATTATAACGAAATCTGTAGATTTTATAGTTTGTAAACATTTTATATTTTATA